TTCCTAATTACATGTTTTTGTTTTCTTTTTATATTTCTTTATTCATCTCCTCTATATGTTTGATAGTGTCTCTTAAGTTTCTCTTGCTTATTTCTTCCTATTTTATATTCCCTGTTTTGTACTTCTTCATTTCTACTTTCACTTCTTTTAATTACTAGATTCTTCTTTCTTAATTAAGTCTTTCATCTCTTACTTTATACTTAATGTATTCATATATGTATTATGATTTCTTGTTTGAAGTTCTGTTCTTTTTTTCTTTAAATATCTTCTTTCCTTTCTTATCAAATTTTATTTATAACAAAATTGTGTTTCTTGGGATTATTTCAGTCTTTTAATATTTTAAATTTGGTAAACAAAAATATGAAATGCCTACTACCAAAAATCTTTGAAAATTAGTTTGGTATATTCTAAAATTATCATAAACCATTGAACAAAATACTTATTCTTTTGTTTCTATTTCATCTTTCTTACTCTTTTATTAATTATTCTTATATTCTATTATTAATTTGTGTTTATCAAGAAGAATAAAAAAAGACCAAAATAAAATAATCAATTCAATCATTTTCAATTTAATTCTTTGATTGAACATAATAAAAATGTATAGTATTACTTTTATTTATTTTAGTACTTCATACTAACATATTAATATTCGAATATATTTATAATTATACTTTAATTATGTTTTGATTTCTTTTAATAAATACAAACTACCATTAAAAATTATCAATAATCATTATACAAGAATTGTCATTTCTTACAATTTCTTATTTGAATTAGATCAAATAACAAATAAAAAATGAACAAAATACAAAGAATAAATACATAATGAAAGAAGAAAATAAAAGTAGACAAGATTAATACTAAGTGATAATAAATGGAAGAATATAAAAAGAAGAATAAGAGTTAATGTGATATTAAATAGAGAATAAATAGAGATGAATAAGAAAAAAAATAAAGAAGAAAAGAAAAAAATTCATAGAAGAACAACAATAAATAAATAAAGAAGAAATAATAATAAATTAAAAATAAATTGTTATAAATGAATCATATAAATGATATTAATATCAATTATTCTCTTATACTTCACTTATTTTATTCATATTTTATATATTTACATATGATTAATCAAATATTTAATTCATCCAATAGTTTTATATTGTAATTATTTCATAATTATTTATATTCATTTTTAATTTGTTGTTTCATTATTTCAATAATGATAAATCAACATATAATTAATATAAATATGATTATAAATGTTGTTATTCATTTAATTAATAACCATTCTAACAATTTGTATGATAATATTTGTGTTAAAATGTTGTGTTTTCATTATTATTTATTCATTCATAATATATTCATGACATTTTCTATTTCTTATGAATTTATTAATTCATTTTCTTTTATTTTCTTTTAATATCAATGTTTATTCTTTTATCGTGTCATTTTTGATAATATTGGTTATTCATTAATCTCAAATGTATATGAATTAATTCAATTTTGTAATAACATTAAACATGAATGAAATATAGGAAATATTTTATAGACATATGAATAAAAGATAAAGAAGAATACGAAAAGAAAAAAGAAAAACACAATAATTAGAAGAAGAACAAATGAATAACAAAAGTCAAAAACATAAACATACCTGATGTTCCATCAAGATTATTGTGATTATCAGAAATATCAACAGAACTAACAACAGTTTTATCATGTGAAATATCAGAAGTAGTTGTATTTTTATTATCTTGTTTTTCATTTTGTTGTGGATGATTTTGTTGTTGTTCTTTTGGTGGTTCATCTTTTTGTTGTGTGTCTTTATTTCCTTTTGGTTGTTGAGTTGAAGTTGATGGACTTATTTGTGTTGGGTTGTTTGTTGTTTGAGTTGGTGACGTTTCTTCACTTGGTTTTGCTGATGAATTTGGTTGACTTGGTGGTTGTTGAGGTTGTCCTTTTGAGTCTTCTTTTTGTGGTTTTTGTTCATTTGATTTTTCTGTTTTTTGTCCATTTCCTGATGGTGTTGAGACTGATGAAGGTTGGTTTTGTTGTTGGGGTGATGCAGGTGATGTACTTGATGG